GGTTCACAGGAGAGCGAAAGTATCATCCACTCCAATCTCTCCTTTCATCGAAACATCCCACATAAATTACATCTTCTCCTTTAATACACTTTTCAATGAGATTAAAACATCACCTTGACACGATTTCAAACCTTTTCAGTCGCATCCAGTGCTTACTTCAGAAAACAGCAAACAAGTGGAAAGCTAGAAAGATCTAAATATTCTCTGGCTGCTATTCTGGAAATTAAAAGTACCTAGAGGGAATAAATGATCCTCTTGCTCCATCCAGTGCAGCGCTAGTGGCCAGGGGAAGGCGTAAAACGAACCCCAGGGAAGCAAAGAGGAAAACCTGATTTCCTTCCCCCAGCTGTACTCGGCTACCTAGCTGGAGCCAGGTTACAGGTTATTTACCTTTGGGAAAAGAGGTGATTTTCACAGATCTGTGTAAGGCAGGGCGGCAGCACAGCTACTGACGCCTTTAGCAAATGAACCTTTTATGGGGCTATCGCTGGTAAACCTGAAAAAGATGCTGGTGCGGGCAGGGCAGGGCAGCCCATTCAGAGACTGCCCGGTTTAGGGAACCACTCGCAACTTTCTGGGTGTGCTGCGCAGCCCACCCCCCGCCCCACAGACGCAGGAGGACCCCCAAGCACATCCCAAATCCTCTCCTGGCAGCAGCTGAACCCGTCCAGGTGTCACCAGCAGCTCCCCCGCCGCCGGACCCGGCGAGACCCTGCTCTGCGGGGCACGCGTGAACTTTTGCCATGGGGTCTGCGGGGAGCCCCCGGAACCCCCCAAGCGCTGCCCCCCGTTAGGATCTCGGTGCTGCGGGGCTCGGTGAGCAAGCAAACGAGAAAAAGGTGGTTTGGCACGTTACCCGCCCGCGAGATACTGTACATTTGGGGACAATTTGCACCCCCCCATCCCCAGCCATCCATCCACGCACACACCCCTTAACAAAGAGTCTTTCAAACCACCACCTTTTATGGCAGCCTGCGGGAATCAATGCGATAAAACGGGTTTTTAATGGGTTAATTGACTGGAGCCGCTATCATGTTTAAACACCTGTTTCTGGAAAGAGATTCAGCCAAAACCCGTCCCCTCCCTGATCGATAGATGCACAGCCTTGCTCCATTGCCTGTTGATCGACCCCAAACACCACCGGCAAATAAGAGAGAAAAAAAAAAATCCATTTCTCCTCTTAAACATCCCGATACTTTATGGTACGGGGAAGCTGCCCGGGCACCTAGGAGCTGGGGAGGGCACAACCCCGGGGAGGACCTCCCCGGACAGCCCCAGCCCAGAGTTCCTTTAGCCGGGACTTCACTGCCCGAGCCTGGGCAAAGTCCCCCCACCGAGAGCCCCCGGCAGCTGTCACCTTCGCGGGGGACAGGACCGGGGATCCCCCTGGTCCCTGGGAAGATGGAGCCGGGCTCAGCCCGGCCGCATTAGCAATGCTAAGAGCCCATGTGAATGCTCACTCCGAGGGGCAGAGATTAAGCAGGCATTAGTTGTAATAGCCGAGGGCTGCTCTGCCTATTGATTTTCCTTTTTTTTTTTTTTTTTTTTTTTTTTTTGGCAGTATTAATATAGCCGAGCCCGTCGGTCAACCGCAGCGAAACTGATCCTTTGCCCAAAACACCTCTCTCTACGTGCCCCCCGCGCACCGACACGTTCATTTCTTCACGCCACACCGGAGCGAGCCGCCCCCGGCGCCCTCCCCTCCCCGGCCCGCCCGCAGCCCCCGGCCCCGACCCCGACCCCACACCCCAGCGAGGCAGGCGGAGGGGGGCAGCCCAAAACTTTGTCCCCCCCCCCTCCCCAATCCATGTCACAGCCGATAACCCAGTGACTGCGAACGGCTCTTCCCTCCTTGCAGGAAAAGTGCCTGGGAAGCCCTCCCCTCGCCGGCTTCCCCTCCTCCCTTCCCCAGACAGGGTGAAGACCCCCTCAAAAGTTAGAGGCACACTTACAGTTGCTCTTCCAGCTCCAGCCTCCTCCCAACATATCAGCTCAAGGGGGCAGATTTTTTTTTTTTTTTAATATATATATATTTCCCCCCCCCCCCATCTCCTCTCCAGCCTAACTCACGCCTTCCTCCGACCCAGCCGGGCGCTTTGGGGCCGGAGCCCCCTTCGCCTGCCGCCCTCCTCGCCCCTCGGCCAGCCGCGGCTCCCAGGCGGCTGTGCCCGAGCCACGAGTGCCCGGCGACACACGCACACTCACCACTCGCTCTCTCGCTCGCTCGCTCTCTCTCTCCCTCGCACACACACACACGCACACACACACACACCCCGCACGGGAGAGGGGGAGAGAGAGAGGGAGAGAAGAAAATGAAATTTATTATTGATAGAAAAGACTTTAAAGACAATTTCTGCTTATTGTTTCGCTCTGGAGAGAAAGGAAAAAAAAAAAAAGAAAAGGGAAAAAAAAAAAAAGAGAGGGGCTTTTCTCCCCACCCCGACATAATGAAACGTCTTTTGTGTGGCACCGAACAATACCAAACAAGTATTCTAATAAATAGCCACTTTTTTGTTCCGCCGCGGCGGTGAATAGAATTGAGCAGTTGCTTTGCGAGCAGCTGGAGCGCCGCGCCGAGCGGGGAGGTGGAGCCCGGCGCCTTCCTCCTCTTTCTCTTCCCTTTTCCCCCTCTCCCTCACGCACTTTCTCCTCTAACCTTGCCTCTCTCTCTCCCTCCCCGCTCCCGCTGGGCCGCTCTCCCCGTCCCCTCCCTTCGCTGCCTCCTGCAGGACCGGGGGCGCCGCAGGTGATGCTCCGCGCACCTGTGCGGCACAGGCACCTCCGGCCGTCCCCCCACCTTCACCCATCCCCTCCCCGGCAGCCCCGGGACCCCTCTCCCGCCCCCTCTGCCAGCCCCAAGCCCTGGCAGCCTCCCCCTCCCTCCACCGGCGAATTTGGGGTTCCCAAGGAGTGCGTCCCTGCAGTGCGTCGCCGGTTCCCCCCCTGCCCCGTCCCCCCTATTCTTTCCCAGTCCCCTCCTCTCCCCCCCTTTCTGTCAACATGACGAGCACTCTAGGAAAGGCACTCGATAGAGGTTATTAAAACGGACACAAATCAGCTAAAGATTTCCAGGTAAAGCTCAGGGGAACCCGTTTTCTTTGCCGCGCTGGACGTGTCAGGGTGCGCGCTCGCATGTGCGCGCCGGAGAAACCGGGGAGGGGGCGGGCGGGGGGGCGGGGGCCCGCAGGGGATGGCCCTGACCCTACCGGGGCTCGGGGCGGCCGCCGGGAGGGCTGTGGCTGCTTTCCCCCTGCAGGGGGACCAGGAGCACCGGGGCCAGAGAGCTCCGAGCAGCCGCTGGGGACAGTCGCCCTACCGCCGCCGGAGCTCCTTTCATCGCGGGCTGGAGCTAGTCCTCGTAAAAAAAAAAAAAAGACATATAAGAAATGTTGATAGTAATAATAAAACCCGACGCTGCCCTCCGGTCTGCTTGACAGCTAGAGCCCTGCTTGTCTCGCAAAGGCTCTAGAAAGCCGCCCCCCCCCGGGTTCAAACAAACCGTAGCACCTGCTGCAAAGACTGGAGCGCGGAAAGGTTGCCTCGCCGGCTGCTTTGCCTTGCTCAGGGCTGGTGCACCCAGCCATTAGGGAGCCCGCAATAAAAAGTACTTTTCTTTCGAATTTCAGCCGCCGCCGCCGTTTGCAGACCCCTACTCTCGGCTGGAGGCTGACGGGGAGCGGGGGGGAGCGGACGGGCGTGGGCTGGCGACCTGGCATCGAGCCTCACGCTCTCATCGCGGGGGCTCGAAGCCACCCCTTGGCCAAGGCACGGCGCTCGCCCGCCCCTCCCCGGCTGTCCCGGAGGGGGAGAGAGCCCCGTGGGTCCCCGGGGGGGCGCAGGGGCACCCCTGTGTCCCACCCTGCTCGCCCCTTGCGCTGCCAGGGCGCGCCCGTGTGCGTGTGCGGAAACATTTTCTCCCCCCGCCCTTTTCTTTTTTTTTTTAAAAACCACCTCCCCCCCCTTCTTTTAAGTGGATTTTTGCTCTCACTTCAATAACACGCCGGCACTAATTAGCTGCAATATTAAGAAACGCTGCTAAATGACAGTTTTATCGGGTTTGTGCAGATAGGAGGAACGCGGGGACCCAGCGCAATACCCATCCAATGCGTTCGGCGCTGGATCCCCGCCAGCAGCCACCGCTCTCCCTTTTTATATGGAAAAATGGCAACATTTTGGAAAGCAGCTTTAAAACTTTGACTTATATTTTACATGCTAAATAACGGGGAGAATGGCGACGGCGTTACAGAAAGCTTCAAACCCTGCAAATATTTGAATGGGGCTTTTTTGTAAAGTAGAGCAGCTGTCAGTCAGCTGGCTTTGACAGCCTGCCACAATTTTGTCATTTAATAGTGGGTGTTAGGCTAAGTGCAAAACACTCTGGCAAACAGATGTCAAACCTACATCTCATATAAATGGGGGTTGTAAAATTGAGTTTTAACCCACATATAGGGTTTTAAAAAGCGGTGCCAGTGTGTAAACTGTATACCAAATAGAGATGCTGACAATCTCCCGTGTGGGCTTGTTATTTAAAGTAGGCTTATTTAGAAATCTGACCTCCAAATTATGCTAAATCTTCCTTCATTTCAAACAGTGGAATATGAGAGCACTGCTTGGGAAAGTCGAAATTAAGGACAGATATGATGGCTCACTGAAAGGGGCTGATTGCCGTATATACTGAAAAAAAACAGGGCTCCTCATTTCCTCCACACGCTGTTGGTCTTCCCAACGTGAAGTGCTTAAAGAAAGGAAAGAAGAAAGGCAGGAAGGAGGCACGAAGGGAGAGAAGGGAGGGAGGAAGGGAGGAAGGGAGGAAGGGAGGAAGGGAGGGAGGAAGGGAGGGAGGAAGGGAGGGAGGAAGGGAGGAAGGAAGGGAGGAAGGAAGGGAGGAAGGAAGGGAGGAAGGAAGGGAGGAAGGGAGGAAGGAGGAAGGGAGGAAGGGAGGAAGGGAGGAAGGGAGGAAGGGAAGGAAGGGAGGAAGGGAGGAAGGAAGGGAGGAAGGGAGGAAGGAAGGAAGGAAAGGCTTGGCAGGGTCCAAGTTCTGAGGGACCACTTTTCTACAGAGTACTCGAGGGGCTTGTTTTGGTAGAAGGCGGCACGGAAGGGAAAGACCACGAACACAACGAGGAGGCAGCGGCACCAGCCTGCTCCTTTAGGGCGAGCGGGGCACCCTGCGGGAAGGTGGCCGGAGCCGGTGCAGGGGGTGGCAGGGGACATTAGGAGCGGCAGCGGGACAAACAGCGCTCAACGCGGTTAGTCCCATCCGAAGTCACGCTTCGACAGCCGCTTTTCTTTTAGGAGCTCACGTTTCCAAGATTTGTCTCTTCGCCGAGATGTGGTTTTCCCCTGCGCTTCCAGGGACGCCCCTGACAAATGTACTTTGAACATTTGAAAGTGTCATAAATATTTATACCAAAAATTCTTCGTTGCCTCAGATGGCCGGAACGAAGCAAGAACAGAAAAGAGTGTAATTCATCGCACAACTCGTATCATATGGATGGTAACAAATTCCCCAGGATAAGTCTGCACCCACATTATCGTTTCGGAAGCTAAACGTGTTGCTTTCTAAACAAGTCGACATGAGGGGATTAAATGAAACAAGCGTATTTAGAATTGCTCCTATTATTAATTAACCGTAGTTTAGACGCGCTCAGCTGATTTCCTTGCCGTGCACTCAGTTGCAAGATCTGCACGGTCCTCGCTGATGCTAAACGAGTGGAGGAATGCACACGGGGCGACTATTGATCGCACAGTTACAGCTGTCCGCCGTCTTTGAGTCCCATTTGCCCCGAATTCTTCCCCCCACCCTCCAAAATAATAACGACAGGAATAAATCCCGCAGGCTCCTCTGTCTGATTGCAGCGTTCCCCTTTTTGCAGCTCTGCAAAGCCCCTTCGGACCCCACCATCGTGGATGTGCCCGGGCCGCTGGCTCAGCCCCCCAAAGGCAGGGGGAGAGGGGATGCCCACGATCCCCGGCCGGCTGCGGGAGGGGGCTCGGGGCCGCCCCCAGCCGGGGCAGTAAGCCCCGTTTTTTTCTTTTTCCTGCCGGTTACGAAATCAGGCTGCGGGGAGAAGGTAGTGGGGGATGCTCGGGTCACGCCGGCTCCCATGCCACCGCAGCTGCGTGCCTGGCACCGGGCGAAATCGTGACAGGGCAAGGCTTGTTTTCTCTTGGCACAGCCGCCTCCGAGTTTTTAGAAGTCGGTTGCAGCAGCAACTCTGCCGAGCAGCTTGCGAAAGCGCACTGAGTGGCTCTGAGGCTCTTCCCCGGGTCCGGGGTGCAGCCGGGGACGGTCCTTTATTCAATTCCCTCCCGCAGGAAAATGCCCGCAGCTATTATCCAGCCCATCTGCCCGAAAAGAAAAGCTCTGGTAAAACCGCGACCCTGATTTTCGAGCAACAAACCGGCCGACAAATCTGGAACAAAATATTTACCGAAGCTGCTTCTTGATAGATAATGAAAAACTCCCATTGGCACCTAAAAATGGGCATTCCGTTAGCTCTACTCTTACTGCTTTTTTTACCAGGATGCTTGTACGAGCGAGCCCTTCATTGCTTTCCAACACAGACACAGCTGCCGCGACACAGTTCTGAAGCTCAGAAGTCAAAATACAATTGACCTTAGATAAATAGATTTTCTCAACAGCACCGGTTTTATTAAGTCTTGAAATTAAGTCCGGTGACTACCTGGCCATCCTAAAATTGCTCTGAGATGTGGATCTGCGCCGTTTCTAACTGCAGTGTCATCAGAAATCCAGGCACTCAACTTGTATTTATTTCCGTGCTTTGAACGCTAACATTAGTATTTCTTCAGGGGGGAAACACTATGGCACAAATTCAAATGATAGATCGGGAAAATGACTCTAAAATAACATAGGAAATGGAAATAAAGATGAGTACGATTTTACCATTTAAAGATTAAATTGGGCTTGTGCTGTTGAATTGAAATACAAAGATGGTTAAAATTGTGTCTTCACTGGAGTGAAATCAGAGTGAAGGCATGAGATCTGTAATACGAAGGCCACAGCTTGTAAAAATCAACAGGTGAAATCTAATTATATTGCTTTGCAGAGCTCAGTATTCACCATTTGTGTTGATTCTCTCATCGTAATTCATTTTAGAGCAGTAGATAGCCACTGAATTGTTTTCTTAGTGGTTTGTTTTTTTCCTTGCATCTCAGATTTGCCCCTGCTTTGAATACATTCTCAAGTCTGAACCACACTGCTCAGGTGCAAAATATACCTTGCATGACCAAGGTGCAGATCAATTTTTCAAGTGGCTTGTGAGTAGAAAATACGGGGCGGGGATAAGGCATGCCACTGCAATGTGATCCAGTCCTTTGAGGAAATCATTAAATTTGAAGCTATTGCTGTAAAATGGAGCTTAGTCTAACATCAGGCTTTGTGTCTTATCAGAGAGGAAAAACTATCACTCCTTGTTGAGGAATGAAACGTTTGGATGCTTTGTCATCACTGTCACCTACGAGACCACTAGAACATTTTACAGCTTTAAGAAGTCAGTTTCTTTCTGGGCATTCAAGCACATGTAACAAAAGGTTTGCTTTTTACTGTGATGGCAAAAATGTTTACCCATCTTTTATATGTTTAATATTATTTATTTGTGTTCATCATTTAACATTATTTGTGTTATCACTCAGGGGAAGTGATAGCATATTGTCCACTTGATGCCCTGGATATAAATGAAAATAGAGCTTATGTATTTTTTCTATTAACTTTTCTATTAGTTTCTAATGCAACTAATGTTTCAGTGCTGAAGAAGTGATTTCTTGGGTCACCGAGATGAGAAGGCCATAATGAGGTCTTGCTAAGACAGCAACTGCTGTGAAGCCATTTGAACCTTTCAGTTCCTCTTCCAGTGAAGATGATTAACTCTTGCTGGCCACGTCAACTCTGTCATCAGGACTGCCGCTGATTCAACCAGTGGGTGAAATTGCCTTTCTGTTACATTAGGTCCAGCTGTGTTGTCATTTTTTTGCCTCAAACTTTACCCAAGTGTCCTGATACCCTGATTGTCCCCACTGCAGAAATTCTGGTCCTTTTACCAAGATGGACATTTCATTTCCCTTGTGAGGAAGCCTGGAAGAAGGACAGAGGACGGTCTGACCCCTCTCCTTGTAGTCAACCCAGACATGAGACAATCTGAACTGCGATCCAGGGACTCATTCCCTGCTGCAGCTCACAAAAGCAGTACACGTGCATTGAAATAGAGGAGGCAACTGCGTGTCTCCAATGGCTAAGAAACAGCCTGAGGTCCTTGGGTAAGTCCTTTAGACTCCAATATTTGTAGGGATTCAGGATATTTAGAAACAAAATTTTCACTGAAGTTAATGGAAGCTGTGTACCTAAATCATTGTATTTAAATATATTTATGTATTTAATCTCCCTCGAGATGAAGACTTGAGATATCTGACTTAATCTTGAACCTTCACTGAACCTTGGCTACTCTGGGTTGCTCCAAGAACACCCAGGAGCATCACAGAGGAATTACAAGTATAAATGCTCCAATACTTTTAACGAGAAGTAGAGAGGCAACAAACGTGTTAAGGTTTCTATTTACCACCACTACACTGACTGTGAAAGTGGGAAATAATGATCAGAATATCTGAGGAATGTTGCCTAGCTTGAAAACATCTCTGCTAGTAATGTGATGACTGTCTTGTGGAGTTGTGGTTGCTGGGAATTCACACTCTGATTTTATGGAGAGATAAAAGAGTGGAGTTTATATGGAATAAACCCCTTTTGAATAAAACAATCTGCATAAATGCTTTAAGAAAGCCTATAATTATGATAAAAATGTTGCTCAGAGTTAAAATTATGAAGCAATCAAAATTTATAAACAGTCTCTCATCGACTTTTAATCATACTTTCTCATATACAAACTGTAGAAAACATATAGTAGCAATATATAACAATACACATTTTATTTTCAGTAAATTAGGGTCCCATCCCATACTCTTTAATCAGACAAAGCTTGACTTGTCAAGCTCTTCCGGAGTACCCTTAAATGTTGAAAACCACATGAAGGCCACTAGTTTCATATACACTCAGCCAAGGCTTTATCCTGTTAGTAGCTGAACACCCCTGGAGAAGCACTGTGCACCCTTTGGGCTAGATCCAAAGCTTTCTGTGGTCAGGTCTTATTTCCATCAACAGACTCTGGATTGGGGCCTCTTCTCCCACTGCCTTCTCTGGGGACACTTGCTTAGTATAACATGGGATATGACCCATATTTCCCCTGAAATTACTTTGGAGGCATTGCTCTTCATTTGTAATTCATTAATGAGAATGGTTAAATTATATGCATCATCTAGGACTTGGATGGCAAGAGATATTCAAAGGAAGGAGTATTTGCAATGGGAACCTTGCCAATTTGAATGGTAGCCTACCATGTCTATAAGCTCCATTGTTTCCTTTGAGCTGAACTAGCTGAACACATTCAGGATGCGTTCTGACATGCACTCTGCATGTCTCCCTCTGAGTCATGAGAAATGCTATCACTGATATGTCAAATTAATGAAATATTTGCTTCTAATTATATATATATATATACATACTATATATATACACAGTATATATATTTATATACTATATGTATCGTAGTATATATACATACTATATATATATACACTATATATAACTATATATATATATTTTTTTTTTAAATCACAGCATTGCTAGATTTCTTTCTGAAACAGAATAGCATGCAAACCCTTGCACCTGGATTCCTTATAGATAAAATGAGATGATACGCTAACTGTTCAACTCTCCTTAATTATCAGAATAACCTTTTCTGTTAAAACATTGATTTAAATGGAATTTTCAGGTAGGCATATTAATAAGGAATAGCTGCAGTGATTTTCACAAGGTTTACATCCTTCTAATGGAGGTCAAATAATGTCCATAAATACACTATCTCAATGCTCTCAAGAAGACAGACCCTTGTGTGACCTTATATTTATTCTAGTTTTCTTCATGTCATTGGGAGCTTGTCCACACTTCCATGATCAAAAGTCTGAACCAAAGGTCCCCAGGAGGGTAAGTGGCAAGGAGGACTTCAGAAAGTCTCCTTCTGAAGTCTGTGGGGAACAATCCAAGAAATGCTTATCCTTTCAGTTTGAGGAGCAACATGAACATTTTGAAGCTTTTGAAAGAAATGATGTTGTATTTTATATCCGTTCCACATGCTTGGAGTGGAAGCATATTTTGGGCTTGAGAAAATAAAATCTCAGCCTCATCTACAACTGGATGATTTAGATGGCAGTATATATACATATATATATATTTAGAAGGATGAAGAAGCACTTGAATGCAGTTTTATATGCATTTTTTGATAGAATTGGGATGTCAAATAATGGCATTCCAGGACATGTTTGTTCCATCCAAAATAAATAAATAAATAAATAAATAAGACAATTTTTATTTTTAGAGAGAAGATTTTTTTTTCTTTTCACTGTTCATTTGTCTCACTTTTGGGGCATGCCTGCAGAAAAATTGTGTAGAAGTTCTCTTCTGTGATTAATATGATTAATATGACATTCTTTTTAACATAGACTTGTTTGTTATGAACTTTCTATATTTAACAGTCTATAATCAATGAATATAAATTCTCATTTGTATCTACTCATGGGCCTAAAATGAAGTTATGTTTCCCACAACAGCTGAGATAGATGAGTGCATTGTGAGTAGTCTCTGTAGCATGGAGGGGAAAAGTACTCCAAAGAAAGCTAAACAAACATAAAGCATGAAACCAGACATTCCTTATGCTTACATTAAAATTATATTGAAAATTGGGAGCACGAACTACCAAACTAGGCTTCTTTCTGTTTTACAGACTGTAACATTTGTTTAAAAAAATCTAGAGCATAATTGTAAATTCAAATTTCCTACCCATTCTTACATCGACATTTGTGTTTTTCTCTTAACATCTCCCACATGTTAATGCAGCAGCTTCTTAGCCCTCTTGTTACTTATCACATTCAACGTAACAGTTTAGCAAATTCTCCAATTGTGTTCGTGCTCGCTTTCACAGACATGGAGAGCAATTTGATGTGTCCTTTTAATGAGTCATTTTCATGCAAGGAGGAAAACAGTGGTTGGGGAAGTTATTAAAGCTTTCTGCTCATTGATTTTAAGACTCTCTGCTGAAACTATGTTGCTTAAAAACCAGCTTGTTTTGTTAGAAGGGTTGAAAACCGTCTTTTCTTCTAAATCCTAAGTTTGAAGAACTCCAGCTTCCTTCAACTCCTTTGCAGAAGCTGCAGTTTTGTCACTAATTGACTCTGCTACAAAACTGTGGCAGTGAAATATGGGATTTCATTTTATTTCATTTTAAAAAGCTTTTAATACTTGGGCTCCAAAGAGAGAGAATGCAAAACTACCTGTGGATGGCAGGGCAGATACTAGTCCAGCAGGGACAGGAGTTGTTCTCTTCATTTGTAGGAGACATTGACTCTAAATCATAATGGTGTCAATACAATTATCGTTTTTGTTTTGTTTTATTTTGTTTTGTTTTGTTTTATTTTTTTAACCTGTGCTTCCGCTGATCATTTCAGTGACGTGTTTAATGAATTTATGTTGGTTGAATGCTGAGGTGGACACAGGTTCGAATGCCTGAGAAAACTAATTTCAGAGGATGTTTTTTTCATTGAACAAGGAAGTCAGGGCCCAAAAAAATGACTGTGATAAGGAAGATCTGCCAGATCTCCTGCACTGTCCACTGAGGTCACTCCAATAGTCCTCTTACTCCTACCTGTGGTCATATGTGGTTTCTTTTGGGGTTTCATTTACCTGACAGGGCTTAGAGAGGTGGAACATACTCAGCTTTCAAGCAGTACTAAAGCAGTGCTCAACTTTTTGGCTGGAGTGGACCACATTGTAGGACATGGGTGTGCTTTCCCAGCCCTTTGTTCTGGGGCAACAACCCAGACATGCCCTAAGTCCATGATGGGGGTAGACCAAGGTGCACCCCATCCTGTCACCACACTCAACTTTTCAACAGATGCACCAGAAAATAATTGTGGCACATGTGCCAATGGGTCTCCTGATTTAAACCATCCAGACTTATTGCTGCTGGGTGTACTGTTGAGCATGTACACCTTATGAGAATGCATATGGGGGGCGGGGGGGATGTTCAGAAAAAAAATATAAAAGAAGGTGTACCCGGCACCATGTTGTATATAAGCATATTGCACAAGCATTCTTACTTATGCTTTGCATTTGGCAGGGGCTGCGTGCAGTGCATGCATGCAAAGGATGCATTTTTGTTCATCCACTTTTGGTCATTCTGTTGGGGTGCTGGAGCCCTTGGGAAGGAAGGCTGCAGGACACAAACTGCCCGAGAGATTCATTCAGACAATAGCTCCCTCCCAGGGGCAAGATGGGGGAGCAGGACACAAGAAAGAGGCTCCAGGTTTGAATCAATATTTTTCTGGACTGGATCTTGCCTGCTGCACACATGTTAAATTTTACATAGGTACTACTTGTTTCTACTAATCAGTCTCACAAAAACATTTTATTAGAATAAATGACTGGCAGAATGCAAAACCTGTAGGGCTTACATGAATAAAAAAACATATATATTTTTCAAATATATATATTTTATTAACTAAAGAAGAGTTTTATAAAAACACTGATCTGCCACAGTTTAGTGAAAATATAGATGAAATTGGTAGCTAAAGCTACTGGTAAACATCATTTATGGAGCGCAGGCTTAAGAATATATTTTCCAAAATGAATAAACAAAATGCCAGTTGTTTATTAAAAATACTAATTCAATAATAATAATAATAAAAGTTTTAAGTTTATTTTGTGCATTAGCAAAATAACATTGGCTGTACTTAAGATCTGTATAGAAGAATGACACAGGTCATTGTGAAATCTTAAAAGTCTTACTGAACAGTGAAACCACTGCAGTACATGCTGAACTACTTAAGACAGACATGAATTGTCCAAACAAAATAATTTGATACTGGCTGTTTTCCACATTTTAATTAGCAAGAACAGATGGCTGTTGCATAATCCTATTTAATGTCTGTGCTTGGTATCTCCCAAATAGCTCAGTGATTAAGTTCATACCTTAGTGTGGCTAAATGCATTAGCTGAAAGCAAACCACTAAGATTCACTTTCTGACATGGGCATAATGCAAGCGTGTTTCCTTCCACTAACCTGAGAGAAAAGCCTCTATTAACTCATAGTCTGTTGGTTGTGAAGATGCCCAGAGGTATTTTGTATAAATGCATATTGATGTCCCATGCGAGTTTTAACTCCCCAGCAGAGTTTCTTTGGTAACTGAGATCAGAGTGCCCCCATTATATAATCACCACTCTCAACACATGCAGCCTAATCATGCAATTGATCACTCATTTAGAGTTTGGGAATTCTTTGGACAGCTCTGTGCAGCTAACCCTTGCTGTGCAATGGGCTGTGTGGGCCTGGCAGCTACCAGAGGTGGCATTGTACAGGGGCAAAGAAGGGAGGGTAGGGAAGATGTTGAGCTCTGCTGCCCACCTGTCTGTCACACAGGATCCTGAGGCACAGCAAGGCTGTGAGTATCTCTCCTCCTCCTCGTCATTGCTGCTGCTGTGTTTGACTGCTATTTACCACAAAGCGATGAGTTCTATTAATTATTATTGATAACAAGCTACACTCACATGTGTATGCAACATGAAAAAAAGTAAACTCTCATCATTTAAGACTTCTGGTATCACAGACAGCAAAGTTCTACCCTGCATACCTAGTGCTACCTTTTTTTCTTTCCCTTTTCCTTCTGCTGATTTCATTGAGGTTATAAGATACAAGTTATATAGTTGGCAATTCACTCCTGCTTCTTTATTTGAGTCTTAATGTTCAGGGACTACTTTTTCCTATGTTCATGTAAAATGTGGTGCTATAAGTGTGTGCTTTACCACCTGAGGATGTATATTTTAAGATGCTTGACTGTTTCTTCATATGAGAAAATAAAATTGCTAGTTGCACAGCAAGGGTATGAGTAGTTTGTGATAGAAAACTTCTGTACACTTGGACAAATTAAAAGTTGACTATCAATACATATGTATATATATATTTGAAAACTTACAGTAGAAATTAACATGTGCTATGGTAAAAAGCAATTCTAAGTGGTTACACAAGATTTTAAGTTTTACTATCCCAACTCAATTGCTCTCACTTAAAAAATAAACAAACAAATGAACAACAAAACAGAAAAAAAACCCACACCCTAATTATGATATATGTTATCTCTGTGGCAATATATTTTGTTACACGAGTCTTGAACATCTATTGTGTAGCTTTCTGTGCATTTTAATAAAATTAAAAAAAAATTAAAGATAGGATACATATCTCTATTTGTTGTGGTATTGTATTGGATGACAGAATGTATGTATCTCAGTGAGGTGTGTACATATATTTTTATAAGGAAATGGTAGTGTATAGCTGGTGTGAAATGGCAGGTTTGCCTGAAAGTCAAAGGAATTCCTTCTATGACTGGCAAATTTACAAGGAACTTGTTTAATGTCTTTCCCTACTGCAATCTGCAAGTCCTGATTTCATAGTGATAAATACCAATTCATTTTTGCATGGAATTTTTGGCATCATCTCTCCACCTGGAATTTACTGTATGAAAACTCCACATATTGACACTGTGACTCATCTTTCTTATTTGTATGATTCTGTCTTATTTTCAGATGAAATAATAGTCTCATACGTGAGGCCTCGGTGGAAGCACATTGTGGAACAACAGATATATAATCTCATATTTGGTTTTATATAAAGAAGTAATTTTAATTAATATAATTATTAAAGTTTAGCAAAAAGAGAAAACATCAATATGGTTCTGTGTCAGCACTGGCATCATTTACCGAACCAAGACCACAAAAAAACTCACCAAAGTTTTTTTGTCATTGCATTGTAAATTAAGGACAGCCTATTTCTTTCTGAAGTCCAGCAACAGTAACTGTTGTATAAATGATAAACAGAACGGAACTTTTAACAAGTCCAAGAGGCCTTTTTCATGTTCTCAAGACATTTTCTCTGCAATGCCTTTGTCTTTACCTGTAAAATGTTGCTACTGCAAGCTTCACTAAGTCTGGCTTTCACTCAGGAGGCAGAAAGAAACACAACTCAAGCCCAAGCAAATGTTTATGGACAGGACTTGAGATAGACGTGTCATAAAAAAGATATCTCTCAAATCCTAAAGCAGATTTCATGGTCAGTATTCACCAGTCCTTCCTACCACAGACCTCCTGCTGGATATTAAAGAGACTTCAATGACAGAAAACATCTGTACATGTTATTGTCAGGGTGTATATTAGAATACATCTAGAATTAATTTAATACTCCAATGAAAAGGTGAAGAAGCAGTACTACAGACAATGTAATATACTATTACCACGGGGAAAGGTTATATATATATATATATATATATATATATATATATATATATATATAACGTCTTTATGCAGTTCTGTTTGTATGTTTTATTTCAGGCAAACTCCATGTAGAAATGTATAAAAAGCCCCCTTATTCCATCCTTGTCCAACAACTATAAGAAAAAAAAAAAGTGTTCAAGGAAGTTAGATTCATTATGGGGTATTCTGTGCTTGCTAGTGATTTTTTTTTTTTTAATGTTCATTTAGAATAAAGGCATGAAAATAAATGATAAAGTTCTTTTCTTTATACTTTTATGAAGTCCTTATGAAAGTAAAAAGTTTTTGATTCCTCCAAGCAACCACAAGTGGCTAATCTGGGATGCTTGATATCCAGCACAGAGAAAGGAATCTTATTTGAAATCAGGCCATTCTTAACCTCCATTTCTACTTCCTCCATTACTCCACTCCCAAAGACAGTTTATGTGTTAAGCTCTGCATCACCAAGCGAAGCAAAGTATTTCCTACAGACATGGGTGTACGTGGAGAGTCCTTAGGAACTCAAGTGTCCCTCACATTGAATGCTTTTTCTCTGTCGGCCTGGCTTGGAAATAAAAGTCAAAACATTCTCTCATGAGAATCAATGGCAAATTCAAGAGAACACAGAAAATAAAAACATAGTCCAAGTAATGAATGGAATAATTTTCATTGTGTTTGGTTTGGTGTATGGACTCAGTAAATCTCACTTATATAAATGTGTTTTGAAGTTAATTATCTACTAAAATTTCCATCTAAATATATTAAAGAGACATTTTCTTCTTTCTTATTCTGCTGTGAAGTCATTCTAGCATCCAAATGATTGAGCCCTGGCATAAAGCCGTTGACATTAAAACGAGGTGTAATAAAGAGAAAAAGGTAATTGCCAGAAGGTCAGTGAAGAAAAAAAAGGAAACAGCTGGCACTAGTTTAGCAATAGCACTATTAGCAGTGCTGTGAAGTGAAATAGTTACCAAAGAATGGCCATTTGGATGATCTGCATTGAAGAATCTGAAAAATAATGTCATTTTATGATTTGCAGATAATCAGAATCAAGTTGCAGATGCTTCTGTGATTGATAATACATACAGAAAAACTGAGTGGCATTAACCTTGTGAAAAAGTCCATAGGAAAGTCAACAGAAAGAAAGATTATTTTTTTTTTTTCAAGTGCACAACTGACTTTTTCCTAAAGCACACGTGTAAAATGTTGTTCTCTAGAACTACACCTGATTTTCTACATCGGATATGAAGAGACATGGAGGTAACAAGTTTATGTACAGATATCTAAAATTGGATGAGGTAAGTCCCATCAAAGGTCTCTCTGATGCTGGAACACCAGCAGCTGCATAGCTAGGATCTGGGAATAACATCCTTCAACACCTGCCAACTGCTGCCACACCAGGTTTTTAGCAGGGAACACTACTACTGTGCAGTAACACTACATAAACAGCAACTCTGCCAGCCCTTGGTTGCGTGGGTTATTTACAGGGTATATTCTGTGGTCTGAAACTTGGAAAGAGGACTCTTGTCTCATGATCTGCATCTGTATTGGGTTTACATGCAAGGTTTTGGTAGTGGGTGGATGCAGGGGAGGCCTCTGTGGGAAGAATCCAGCAGCAGCCCCATGTTAGGTAAGGGCCAGTTTCAGCCAGCTCCAAAGAGACTTGCCGCTAGCCTTATCTGAGCCAGTGAGCTGTTTGGGCTTCTGGGAGAGAAGATTTGAGAAAGGGGCAAAACAAAACTGCTGTGCAACAGCAGCTGGGCAAGAGGGTTGAGAAAATGTGAGAGAACCAGCCCTGCAGACCCCCTGCTCAGTGCAACAGGAGGGCAGGAGGTGCCCCAGGCACGCAGCAGAAGTTCCCCTGTGACCTGTGGAGAGGCCCCTGGTGGAGCAGGCTGTCCCCCTGCAGCCCATGGGTCCCACATGGAGCAGATCTCCACGCTGCAGCCCCCCCGTGGGTGGAGGAGCCCCCGGTGGAGCAGGTGAATGTGGCCTGGGGGAGGCTGCAGCCCATGGAGAGCCCCTGCAGGAGCAGGCCCCAGGCCGGAGCTGCAGCCCATGGAGAGGAGCCCACGCAGGAGCAGGGGGTCTGGGGGGAGCTGACGCCCACCCATGGGGGACCCGTGCTGGAGCAGTTTGCTCCTGGGGGATTGACCCTGTGGTACGGAGCTGTGTGGGAGCAGTTCTTGAAGAGCTGCTGCCTGTGGACAGTCCCTGCAGGCTCAGTTTGGGAAGGACGGCATCCCGTGGGAGGGACCCCATGTGGAGCAGGGGCAGAGAGTGACCATGAAGGAACAGTGGGGACAAAGCGTCATAGACTGACAGCAGCCCCTATACCCCAGTTCCCTGTGCTGCTGGGAGGTAGGAAGTAGAAGAGGGAGGATGGGGCGAAAGGTGTTTTTAGTTTCTTTTGAGTTTCCCACTGCTCTAGTCTGCTAGTGATAGGCAATATACATGTATTATATTAATATCCCTATTCTGAGTCTGCTTTGCCCATGATGGTAATTGTTGAGTGATCTTCCTGTCTGTATCTCAACCCTTGAACCCTTTTTGTCATATTTTCTCCCCCTTTCCCTTTGAGGAGGGGGAGTGAGAGAGTGGTTGAGGTGGAGCTCACCGTCCAACTGAGTAAAACTACCCAGCATCTTTCTCCTACTCAGTTTGCTCTTAACAAGGACATTGAAGAATAACTGATTTCCTCATGTGTCCTTAAAAATAAATTAATCTGGCAACTGACTTTTTCTCCAAATTAAGTGCAATGTCCCTCCCCATTTTGTGGGGGATGCTTACAAAGTATTCTGGAGAGTATAAGGGATGTCTGAGGTCAGGTGGGAAAAGCTATTGGTATACAAGTAGGGTTGGTATTTTTCTTTTTTTATTGCAATTATACAATTAAAATTAGATAATTAAAAATTAGATTCCCCCATCCCCCACTTTTTTAAAATGCTTTATTTTAGTCAGCAACTGTGATTACAAATCAAAACTAACAGCTCTGTGTATGCTGGAATATTATTCAGTTCTTAGGGCTAAAGTCAACTTCCTGTGGCTAATGCCAAAACTTCAAACACACCATTAGAATACACTCTTTCCCTGCAGCACTTTGATTAATTAAATTTCTAAATGCAAATTGTTCAAGATCCCCTGTCCTTTTTAAATTGCAGGAGTGCTTGCTGCTGCTATTAGTGTATTGAATAACTCTTTGGAAAATGTATTCCATCTCTTGACTTTGTTCAGAGGAGAAACAGAAATCAAAGCTTCAATACAATATCCAAGAAAACTAAGTCCCTTTCCTTCTTTGGGCCCATCTTTTCTGCCAAAGCCAAAACAGCCTGAGAGTCACCTGTAAAGTCAGAGGTAGACTGTAGCTTGATGTCCCTTTATCCTAAGAGATTGTTCTGAATCATCTGCTGAGAACGGTAGATCCTCAGAAACACCTCACTCACATCTTGCACATTAGGTAGTACTCATGCATAGACAACTATCAACATAATCTCTAATCTAAATATGTAATCCAGAGAATCTCTGTAATTGACAGTATGAGATAGTCTTCTCCAAACAGTGAGACTAGAGTCATTCATTCATACCAGGTGGGATAAACCACAGTTTGGAGGTTGTTGGCTCTCCCCACTGACTACAGAAAGTGCCTAACCAGGATTACACACTTAAGAAGGCTAAAGTTACATGATTTGCACCTAGATCAAACCTGCTGCTTGCACTATTAAGTTGGCTGTATATATCAGAGTAGTTCTGAAAGGAGAAATTCTCAGGGAGCCATAATCTCTTATAATGGTTAGTGATGCATGAAGAAACCAGAGGTGAAATACAGATCTTTAGTCCTATAAAGCCTTAGATTTTATTTTGTTGTTAACTCAAAAATATACACTGACATGAAGCTTTTGTCTATTACTAGAGCTGGTGCTAAGTTTTCTTGAAGATAAACCCACTTCACAGACTCTGGAACCTATCAGCTGTTTGTAGATTAGTTTTTGTAGATGTTTCTCTAAAAGTGTACATGTCCTACTGCTATTATGTACTTCTGATTTGGGGAATGCACTGCAATGTTGCAATTTGCTTTATTACAAATATGTTTTTCCCACTGTGATTTTCAGCTATTTGTACAGTTGAAAAAATTCATGTTTTGCAATTTCAATTCAATTCTGGACAACAGCCTGTTTGCCTGGGTTATGGCCATCTGTAAACAGGCAGTTGAATGTGTTCAGATATATATTCATGCATTTACTCTGTGATCGTAAATTTGTAAGAGCTCTTTCATGAGTACAAAATAGGAGGTTAGGCCTTTCTTCAGTAGAACAACCTATCTCATCCTTCTCCTTTCAGTACTTGTTTCTTTTCTACATACTTCAAGTTAATGTAAATATCTCTAACATTCAGTAATGGCATACCAATTACAGAAAGCACCCCATCAAACCACCAGCATTCATGAGGCTTTGATCTCCTGCATGAAGCAAAACACAACACTGGCCTTTTTTTCTATCAAATTATTCTTCAGAGCTATCCTTGGATATGAGTATTTCTTATTCTTTATTTTCTTTAGTGAACAAGTGCGTATAAGTCTCATGCTTTAATATGCTGACAGTCATGTCAGTTTATTTATGTGAAGTTTCGCCCTGTCTGCTTTTACTTAAGTACATGGAATAGATTCAGTTTTGGGATACGTCTTATCTATATTATGGTGTCATCGTAGAAGATGTAGGAGACTTTCAGAAAGCCTGAAGTCCTGCTCTTGAAACACTTTTTGTCCTGCTCATTTATTGTCTCAGTTAATTTGTTACCTTTATTATAAACTAATACTATTGCATCATCTAATGACACATGATGGTTATGATATTATTGCAAATTAACCAGGGTGGGAAAGTACTGAGCTCTTGATATAGGCATTGAGTATTTTCAACCAAGTCTAAGACATTTGAGTCAATTAGACATTCATGTTTGGGCCAAAGAAACTTAAAAAAAATCATCTGTATGACTATTTGGTATCTCTTCCTTTGTTGTCAAACATATCACTTAATCTATCGCATCTTCACACTTTTGGTATTTATTCCTACGTGGTCTGACAGTCTTGATGGCTGTTTACAGTCTTGCTGATCCCAAATTCTTGTTCTGTTCTAATGGCCTAAATCACAGAAAGCTATTTACTGTTCATTCGTAACCATCACTTACTTTAGTAGGAAAAAACAGTGCCAAACATCTAGAAAACAGGTGGAGGGGCAGCCATAAGACATATCATTAATGACCAGAATCAAACCTGAACAGAGTTGAAATCTTGGCTTTGCTGGAGTCAGTGGGAACTTTGATATTAAGAATTTTTCTTCTCCACATTATAGTTATATAATGTGCTAAATATACCTTTTTGTCAAATTTAATCTATTTTTTCCCTCCATGCCCATTTAATGGACACATGAATACAGCAGGAAGGAAATATATGATGGCATAGTGCTCAGAGCCAGTCTCAGATTAAGTGGCCCAAGTGAATTCACTAGTAACAACAGGTGGGTCTCCATCTCTTTTATACAAAAAATCATTTGTACACTAAAACATTCCAGGGTACCCAACAACCTAATCTGCAGGTACACATGCAGGTTTTGGGCATGGTTCGTTTTTCAGTTAAACACATAAACATGTTTGTAGAACTAAGGTAACCTTGAGTTTACTGAAAATGTTCTTCTTTTCCATGTGTTGTCAGTGAATAGTGGAAAATTAACTTTTCTATATGTTGAAAGATCCATCAGA